AGTCATTTTTTTTTTTAGTTTAATGTTTCCTTTTTTGCTGTCTAGTCGTCCTCATCAGTCTTCTGCTTCTTGCTATTGACATCATCATCCTCATCATCTTCAGCTGCCCACTTGCCTGTAGCAAACTCAGCTTCCTCGTCTTCATCTCCATCCTCTTCCTCACCATCACTTTCTTCTTCTTCTTCATCTACCTCATTGTCAGCCTCCTGCTCCCAATTTTCCTCATTAGCGTTCCCGTTAGCAGAGGCATCTCTTCCATTTCCACCTCCTCCACAACTTTCTTCTTCTCCTTTAAGTCCTTGGTGGTGATCTTGGAGTTGGTGTCTATGGCTGCATCTGACATGGTGGGGCACGCCGGTGATCCAGTGCAGGGGATTAAAAAGAAAGCAAGAATTCCAGGACTCTGGCAATAAAGCTGCTGGAGTCCGTGGTGGAGGAGGAACCAAGGAGTCAGACGAGGAACAATGCAAACATGGCTTTTCAGAGCAGCCAGCGGGGGCTGTTTTCATTTCAACAGTGTTCACAGGATCTTCACCAGGAGTAGATTCCATCTCAAGAAACCCTCTTGGTGCATGCATAAGAAGCAACTTCTTATCCGTAGAAGTTTGATCATGAGATTGCAGCAACTCAGCCACATCTTCAGGTTCCACCTCTAATTCTGCTTCTCTTGCTGTTTCTACCACATCTGCGGTGACTTCTTCTATTGAAGTCTTAAGTCTCTCAAAGTCATCCACCAAGGTTGGAACCAACTTCTTCCAAACTCCTGTTAATGTTGATATTTTGACCTCTAGCCACAAATCATGAATGTTCTTCAGGGACTCTAAAATGATGAATCCTTTCTAGAAGGTTTTCAACTTACTTTGCCTAGATCCATCAGACAAATCACTATCTATGGCAGCTATATCCTTACAAAATATATTGCTTGAATAATAAGACTTGAAAGTTAGTATTACTCCTTATTCCATGGGCTGCAGAATGAACGTTGTGTTAACAGGCATGAAAACATTAATTTTCTTGTATATCTACATCAGAGCTCTTGGGTGACCATGTACATTGTCAATGAGCAGTAATATTTTCAAAAGAGTCTCTTCTTCTTAGCAGTAGGTCTCAACAGTGGGCTTAAAATATTCAGTAAATCTGGCTGGGTGCGGTGACTCACGCCTGTAATCCCAGCACTTTGGGAGGCTGAGGTGGGCAGATCACAAGGTCAGGTGATCAAGACAATCCTGGCTAACACGGTGAAACCCATCTCTACTAAAAATACAAAAAATTAGCCAGGCATGGTGGCATGCGCCTGTAATCCCAGCTACCTGGGAGTCTGAGGCAGGAGAGTCACTTGAATTCGGGAAGTGGAGGTTGCAGTGAGCCAAGATCCAGCATGGGCGACAGAGTGAGACTCCTTCTATATATATATATTCAGTAAATCATTCTCTAAATGAGATGTGCTGTCATGCAGGCTTTGTCATTCCACTTCCAGAGCACAGGCAGAGTAGCTTTAGCATGATTCTTATGAGCCATAGGATTTTCGGAATGGTAAATAAGCAGTGACTTCAACTTAAAAGTCACCAACTGCATTAGCCCCTAACAAGTCAGCCTGTACTTTGAAGCTTTGAAACCAGGCATTAACTCCTTTCTAGCTGGAAAAGTCCTGGATGGCATCTTCCAATGTAAGGCTGTTTCTTCTAAATTGAAAATCTGTTATTTACTGTAGCCACCTTCATCAATGATCTTAGCTAGATCTGGATAACATGCTACAGGTTCTACAGCCAAACTTGCTGTTTTACCTTGCATTTTCATTTATGGAGATGGCTTCTTTCCGTAATCTTTATGAACCAACCTCTGCTAGCTTCTAACTTCTTTCTGCAGCTTCCTCACCTCTCTTAGCCTTCATGGAATTGAAGAGAGTTCCAGCCTTGCTCCAGAATAGGCTATGGCTTCAGGGAATATTGTAGCTGGCTGGATCTTCTATCCAGACCACTAAACTTTCTTTGTAACAGCTATAAGACTGTTTCACTTTCTTTCTTTCTTTTTTTTTTTTTTTTAAACAGATTCTTGCTCTATTGCCCAGGCTGGAGTGCAGTGGCACAATCTTGGCTCACTGAAACCTCCAATTCAGTTCAGGTGATTCTTGTGCATCAGCCTCCAGAGTAGCTGGGATTACAGGTGTGCACCACCATACCCAGCTAAAATTTTTTTGCAATTTTAGTAGAGACGGGGTTTTGCCATGTTGTCTAGGCTAGTCTCGAACTCCTGACCTCAAGTGACCTGCCCACCCACCTTGGCCTCCCAAAGTACTGGGATTACAGGTGTGAGCCACTGTGCCCAGCCAAGCTGCCGTGCCCAGCCATGTTTTACTTTCTTATCATTTATGTGTTCCATGGAGTGGCACTTTTAATTTCCTTCAAAAATTTTTCCTTTGAATTAACAGCTTGGCTAATTGGTGCAAGAGGCCTAGCTATTAGCCTGTTTCAGGTTTCTACATGCCTTCTTCATTTCTAATTTAATCATTTCTAGCTTTTGACTGAAAGCAAGAGACGCATGATTCTTCCTTTCACTTGAGCAGTCAGACTACATTAAGTTTTGCCGTCTTACTGGGCATGGTTCCTGGTGCCCCCCAGAATTACAATAGGAACATCAAAGATTACTGATCATAGATTACCATAACAAATATAATAATAATGAAAAAGTTTGGGTCGGGCACGGTGGTTCATGCCTGTAATCCCAACACTTTAGGAGGCCGAGGCAGGTGGATGACGAGGTCAGGTGTTCAAAACCAACCTGGCCAAGATGGTGAAACCCCATCTGTACTAAAAATACAAAAAATTAGCCAGGTGTGGGGCCACGTGCCTGTAATCCCAGCTACTTGGGAGGCTGAGGCAGGAAAATCACTTGAACCCGGGAGGCAGAGGTTGTAGTGAGCCAAGATGGCACCACTGCACTCCAGCCTGGGCGATAGAGTGAGACTCCATCTCAAAAAAAAAAAGAAAAAGAAAAAGTTTGGTGGCCGGGTGCAGTGGTTCATGCCTGTAATCCTAACACTTTGGGAGGCCGAGGCGGGCAGATCAATTGAGGTCAGGAGTTCGAGACCAGCCTGGCCAACATGGTGAAACCCTGTCTTTACTAAAAATACAAAAATTAGTCAGGTGTGGTGGCATGCACCTGTAGTTCCATTTACTCGGGAGGTTGAGGCTGAGGAATCCTTTGAACCCAGGAGGTGGAGGTTGCAGTGAGCCGAGATCATGTCACTGCATTGCAGCCTGGGCGACAGAGCGAGACTCTGTCTAAAAAAAAAAAAAGAAAAAAAGAAAAAAAGAAAAAAGAAAGAAAAAGTTTGAAATATGGCAAGAATTACCAAAATGTGACACAGACATGAAGTAGAGCACTTGCTGTTGAAAACATGAGGCCGATAGACTTACTTGATGGAGGGTTGCTGTAAACCTTCAGCTTGTAAAACAGCACTATCTGCAAAATACAGTGAAATGCAATAAAACAAGGTATGCCTGTAAAAATATTTTTATGCAAAAAGAAACTGTCCACAATTTTAGTGTTCAATGTCCATCTAGTTGCCAACATAAAGAAATGGCATCACATTTCACACATTACATCTAGATCCAATTTATCCAAACCTAGAAGTGATATGAGGTTTTTACTATTGCAAAATTTAGTTTAATTTAATTTTTTAAATTTTGTAGAGACAGAGTCTCAGTATGTTTCCCGGGCTTGTCTGGAGCTCCTCGGCTCAAGCAGTCCTCGTGCCTTTGCATCCCAAAGTGCTGGGATTACAGGTGTGAGCTACCACGTGTAGCCACAAATATTCTTTAGAACTGTGACAAATATTGCACTGATTTGGGAGTACCTCCAGAATCAGGAATTGGACAATCAATACAAGTGGGAAAATGTGGCTGGTCGCGGTGGCTCACGCCTGTAATCCCAGCACTTTGGGAGGCCATGGTGGGCAGATCACCTGAGGTCAGGAGTTCAAGACCAGCCTGGCCAACATGGTGAAACACCATCTCTACTAAAAATATGAAATTAGCTGGGTGTGGTGGTGCACGCCTGTAATCCCAGCTACTAGGGAGGCTGAGGCAGGAGAACTGCTTGAACCCGGGTGGCAGAGGTTGCAGTGAGCTGAGATCATGCCATTGTACTTCAGCCTGGACAATAGAGCGAGACTCTGTCTCAAAAAAAAGAGTAGGGAAATGTGTTTTGTTATACAAAAATCATTTGTATTTCTGCTCTCTGAAAGTAGGAATTGACAAGCTTATTAATTAGTTCTTTTTATTACCAAGCACCTGTGCTGCTCACATTCTTCCCACATCTTGAGTCAGTGCTTGCCTCCGAAGAACCCACAAATCTAGATAGCAGCCAGACACTGTCACCTTTGATTCTGAAGACATAGGGCAAGTGATGTGGAGAAGCCTTTCTCTGGGGCCTGAACAGTGTGAGTCACAAATGCCTGTGTCGAAGGCTCTAGATTGTGCCGCACTATCACCGTTCACCAGATCCAAGCAACGTAAGTGCCTGCTGTTCATTTTTTATTTTTCTGAGACAGAGTCTCGCTCTTTCATCCAGGCTGAAGTACAATGGCATGTACAATGGCCAGGTTCCTGTTGTTCTTTAGTAATTTTCCATTTGTACATCTGTGATTTGGGGTTTTCTAAAGTGCGAAGTCCAGGAATGGCACTCTTCTTGTGCAAGTATAAAGGTGAAATAGTTTTACACTCCTCTTCGGCCAGTGTTTTCTTTTTTCTTGTTTCTAACAATTCTAACAATGCCCCTGGCTCCTAAAACTGCAATATTTGTCCTTGTAACAGGCTCAACAGGCATATCTATTTCTTAGAATATTTGCACAGTAACACAAAGGCAAAAATAATGCCAACTGGTAAAAACAGAAAAGATGTTAATTTGCGACTCTGTTGTTTAATAAAGGAGTAGATAATTAAGGTGCCCTAGGCAAGGATTCAATATTAAGTGAGCTTTCTGGTATTTCCTCCTTACAGACCGTTCTACCTCCTGGATGGTCGTGATCGTCGGGTGTGGCTGACTTGGAAGACTGAACCTGGGCTGGGCGGCTGATTGAAGTCCCTTTGGGCTGCAGCAGCTGGTCTTTCAGGTAGCTGAAAAAGTCAGACAGGCCCTAATAGACTTGTTTGACAACATTTCTTTGGTCTCTGAATACAATTGCCATATTTCTTGTTCTCCTAAGGCTCTAATAATGACCAAAGAACCCTAGTTCATTTTCTTTTTTTTTGAGGCGGAGTCTTGCTCTGTTGCCCAAGCTGGAGTGCAGCGGCGCGATTTCGCCTCACTGCAACCTCCACTTCCCAGGTTTAAGCGATTCTTCTGCCTCAGCCTCCCAAGTAGTTCGGACTATAGGCACACGCCACCAAGCCTGGCTAATTTTCGTATTTTTAATAGAGATAGGATTTCACCATGTTGGCCAGGCTGGTCTTGAACTCCTAACCTCAGGTGATCCGCCCACCTCGGCCTCCCAAAGTGCTGGGATTACAGGCATGAGCCACCACGCTTGGCCTCATTTTCTTTTTTTTGAGATGGAAGTCTCGCTCTGTTGCCCATGCTGGAGTGCAGTGGTGCCGTCTTGGCTCACTGCAACCATTGCCTCTCGAGTTCAAGCAATTCTCCTGTCTCAGCCTCCCAGACAGCTGGGATTACAGGCGTGTGCCACCACGCCCAGCCAATTTTTGTATTTTCAGTAGAGAAGTGGTTTCCCATGTTGGCCAGGCTGGTCTCAAACTCCTGACCTCAGGTGATCTGCCCACCTTGGCCTCCCAAAGTGCTGGGATTACGGGCGTGAGCCACCATGCCCAGGCCCTAGTTCATTTTCTAAGATTATAGCCAACCATTTCCTGGGACATGGGAAGTCCTTCCACCTTCCCATGTACTCTCCTTTTAGAAGAATGAGTTTGATAGCAAGGGAGGCCTACACCACAGCCCAGTATTGTGGTAATGGGTGCAATCTAAAAGAAATGTGACACGAACTCAAAGGTTTTGCTTGTGAATTAATTCAGTTCACATTTCCTAAGAGTTTACTATATACTAACTCCTGGGGTAAGTACTGTAAACTGTTGTATCAATGAGTGACAGAAAACACACGGGGCCAGTAGAGACACAGAGGAGGGGCACTTGGCCAGCTCAGGTACTGGAAGGTTCCCTATCCAGTGTTCCCTACCTGGCCAGTGAGGCTCACGGAGTAACACGGGGCATCAGCACATGAAAGGCAGAGGATGAGATTCTAGCAGGAAAACTCTACCCTGGCCACCAGTCCCCAGAGAGGAAGGGTTGAAAATTAATGGCCACATTGTATTTAGCCTGCAATATTAATAACCTGTGCTGTGCCTGCTTCGGCAGCAGATATACTAAAATTGGAACCACACAGAGAAAATTAGCATGACCCCTGTGCAAGGATGACACGCAAATTTGTGAAGCGCTCCACATTAAAAGGTAGTAACAATAATACTAGCTGTGTGCTAAAGGCGCCTTTGTGGAGAAGTTTTCTGGAGTAGCAGGAGACTTATTTTTAATGATTATTTCTCCAACACCAGGCACTATTGGTGCCGTGGACATAGCGATGAACAAAATATAGCAGTCCTGCCTTCATTGAGGTAAGCTCCCAGAACAGAGACAGTGGAGAATCAATTAGACAGATAATAATCCATGCTCTGAAGAAAAATGTGTGGCAGGGCACCAAGGCTCATGACTGTAATCCCAGCACTTTGGGAGGTGGAGGCAGAAAGATCGCTTGAGTCCAGGAGTTTGAGACTAGCCTGGACAACATAGTAAGACCCTATCTGTGCATAAAATTTTAAAAATGGGTTGGGTGTGGTGGCTTATGCCTGTGGTGCCCATTGCTGGGGAGGCTGAGGCAGGAGGATTGCTTGAGCTGAGGAGTTGGAGGCTGCAGTGAGCTATGATCAAACCATTGCACTCCAGCCTGGGTGAGAGAATGGGACTCTGTCTCAATAAATAAACAAACAAGAAAAATGAAGCATGGAGTAAGAGCTGTGGTTAGGGAAGGCCTCTCCGAGGAAGTGACCAGGTAAAAGGAGGAAGTAAGCCATGAGAAATTTATAAAGGCTGGGTAATGTATAAAGAAAAAAGGTTTAATTTGCTCATGGTTCTGGATTCTGTATAGGAAGCTTGGTGCCAGCATCTGCTTCTGATGAGCCCCTCAGGTGGCTTACAGTCATGGCGTAAGGCGAAGGGAAACAGGCGCATCACAAGGAGAAAGCAGGAGTAAGAGAGAGAGAGAAGGGGGAGGTCCCAGACTCTTAAACAACCAGATTTGTTTTCTTTTTTTTTTGAAATGGAGTCTCACTCTATTGCCCAGGCTGGAGTACAGTGGCACAATCTCGGCTCACTGCAAACTCCGCCTCCTGGGTTCAAGTGATTCTCCTGCCTCAGCCTCACGAGCAGCTGTGACTATAGGCATCTGCCACTATGCCTGGCTAATTTTTGTATTTTTAGTAGAGACAGGGTTTCACCATGTTGCCCAGGCTGGCCTTGAACTCCTGACCTCAGGTGATCTGCCCACCTCGGCCTCCCAAAGTGCTGGGATTACAGGCGTGAGCCACTGTGCCTGACCAAAAACGTGTTTTGAGGCCCCTAGTTTGCTATTGTCCTGGACATAGTAGCCTTCTTACTGGTTTTAAAAGGGGTGTACATGATTTGGTGTGTCTTGATAGGTCTCATTTTATTTTGCTTCAAAGGCCACAAACTATAATTATCATTGATTTTTGTTCTGTTGAAAATGTCTTTGTCAATATCCCCAGAGGTATACAGCTTGTGAAAATCGTCCAAGATTAAAAGAATGTCTGTCCCCTGGATATTTACTTAGGGAGTGAGGATAATGATCTCTTTGCAACTGATATTCTGCTTTGGAATATCATTTCTACCCAAATCAGACCAAAAAAGAGTTTGTTTTTTTCTTCAGGCTTTCCATCTGGGCCCTGTGTACCCACCGCTTTTTCTATGTGATGATTTGCCAGAAGAATACTCCATTTCAACAAACAGGTCTATGGAAAGAAGCAAACTAATTACATGCAGCTTCTTTTATGCCTGTGGCCCAGATTTAGGAGTTCCAGACCAGCCTGGGAAACAGATTTAGAAATGGAATCAAGCATTGACAGTGCTGTGATTGCTGAAGGCAGTCTACCTATCCACGAGCGCGGCCCGTGCTGGCAGGGTTCGAAAACCTTGTCTGAGTTAAGGAACAAGAAGGGGGCACCCCCAGGCCATCTCCCATGACCTTTGGAAGGTGCAGAAAAGCCTCAACGTCTCCATAGGAAGAAGCACAAAGTTGAGAGGAAGGGCAGAGCTCACATGCTGTCCAGGTGGCCTCTGCAACAAATAATACGACCCTCCTCTGGAGATTGGAAAGTAGATTTCCTGGTGGGGCCAGGGAAGACTAGGCTGGGTTTTCTGAGCAGGGCTTTGTTAAAGAGGGGATACCATCTATGCAGAGCCCACCCTATCCACAGAGGCCAGCAGCAATAGATGGAACCAAGTCCATCTGGATCTGGGGCCTCCTCACCTTGGACCTATAGCCAGCTACATTAAGACACCTCTGCTGCCTTCTTCCGTGTCCTGACCACTTCCATTTCCTGCTCTCTACACCAGGGCAGTTAGGAAGCGAGGCCTTGTAAAGAGAGGAGGCAGCAGGTATCACAGAACTGGACCAGGCCCACTCCCCAATCTCCTCATTCTCCCAGCAAGCAGTGTGAGTGCCCAGCTTGTGCTGGGAAGAGGAGGTGAAGCACTGTGAACCAGATATGTGAGTGGGGCTTGAAACAGGGCTGGTCTGAGCTTTACCAGGCTAAAGTGATGAATCTGCCTAAGATATTGCTAAAGGACTGAAGGGAGTTGGCATAGAGTGATTGGAAGCAGTGATTAGAAAATAGAAAATGGGCTGGGTACCATGGCTCATGCCTGGAATCCCAGCACTTTGAGAGGCCAAAGAAGGCAGATTGCTTGAGCACAGGAGTTCAAGACAAGCTTGGGAAACATGGCAAAACTCCATCTCTTGTTTTTTGTTTTCTTTTTTGAGACAGCGTCTCAGTCCGACGCCTAGGCTGGAGTACAGTAGCGTGATCTTGGCTCACTGCAACCTCTACCTTCTGGGTTCCAGCGATTCTCCTGCCTCAGTTTCCTGAGTAGCTGAGATTACAGGTGCCCACCATCATGCCTGGCTAATTTTTATATGTTTAGTAGAGATGGGATTTCACCACATTGGACAGGTTGGCCTTGAACTCCTGACCTGAAGTGATCTGCCCACCTCAGCCTCCCAAAGTGCTGGGATTACAGGGATTACAGGGGTGGGCCAAAACCCCATCTCTACAAATACAAAAATTAGCCGGGCATGATGGTGTGTGCCTTACTACAGGTACTCGGGAGGCTGACATGGGAGGATGGCTTAAGCCCAGGAGGCAGAGGTTGCAGTGAGTCAAGATCACCCCACTGCACTCCAGCCTGGGCAACAGCCAGACTCTATCTCAAAAATAAAAAAAGAAAGAAAAAGAAAATGGTTTCATGTTCAGGTGAGGTCTCAGTGAGGTGAGACTTCTCAAGAAAACAACTGCACTTAGATTCCTGTCTGGATACATTTTCCCCTCTCCTTTGATGTCCCCAGTCTGCCTCTTCTCTGACACTGGCAGTTCTGTCCTGAGGCCCTCTTCCCGAACTGCCCTGCAGCACTTTCTGCTACCCTTCTGTTTGGAACACTCAGAAACCAGAGGTGCAACAATAAGTTATTGACCTGTTCCTGCAGACTCCCTGTTTCCTTGGGAGCTGTGGCCCAGGAATTGCGTAGTGGTAGGAATCTAGCCCTGAGACTGCAGATCACTTAGGAGTTTCTTCTGTGAGAACATTCACAAAAATCAGAGAGAGGATTTTGCCAGTGAGTGCAGCCATTCTCTGTGAGTCAGTAACCCTCTGCCCTGCATCCATCCCCGCAGGAAGGACCTGCCAAGAACAATCGTCTCCATGGATGAGCAGCCACCCGCACCGCCTGGGACAGAGCAAGTCCTCTGCGGCAGGGTGCGTTCACTGTGTAATTATAGTCTGAGTTGTTTTGCTGGGTTACCCTATGTTTATCACATATTTTGACACCTCCTTGACAGCATGTGGATGCCCCAATTTTGTGTTTGCCCTGCTGGTGGTTACAGTAAATCAATAATATTAGATAAGAAAAAACAAGTAAACCTCTCAAGCCCTAAAATGCAATAAAATCTGTCATAAAAAAAACGGGTACGAGGAAATTCGAGGGTTATCCTGGATGAGCCACACCCAGAACTATGCAGGGGACGAGGTCTGCAGGTTCCCCGCTCTACCTTGGTGTCACCCAGGCATCTGAGAAACTCATCCACAGAGACCAGCACGAAGCTGCCATTCCCCAGAATGAGGAGTCTCCAGGGCTGGAGGAGAGGCAGTCCCGGGATGCTCAGCTGGTTGCAACCCCAGTCCCCACTTGCATCTCACCCCAATCAATAGCTCTATCATCAGGATTTAGGTCCCTTTTTTTTTTTTTTGAGATGGAGTCTTGCACTATGGCCCAGGCTGGAGTGCAGTGGTGCGATCTCGGTTCATTGCAGCCTCCACCTCCCAGGTTCAAGCGATTCTCCTGCCTCAGCCTCCTGAGTGACTGGGATGACAGGTACTCACCACTGTGCCTGGCTAGTTTTTGTATTTTTAGTAGAGACAGGGTTTCATCATGTTGGCCAAGCTGGTCTCAAACTCCTGACCTCAGGTGATCTGCCCGCCTCAGTCTCCTGAAGTTCTGGGATTATAGGTGTGAGTTACCTTGCCTGGCCTCAGGTCCCATTTCTTTCCCATGCAAGAAATGGTTGTTGAGAATCAGGACCAGGAAATGTACATGGGTGTGGGGCATCCTGTTATGACAGGGAGCAAGAAATTATCAAAGACAAATTTGTTCCAAGTTCACAGAATCTATTAAATAACTGGCCTGTACTCTTAGGAAATGTCAAGGTCATGAAAGACAGAGACTGAGGAGCTGTTCCAGAGTAAGTGACACTAAAGACACAGAGATAAATGCAGTGTTTAATCATGGATTAGATCCTGGAACAGACTTTTTTTTTTTTATTAAGGACATTGTTGGTCAACTGGCAAAGTATGAATAACTCATAGATTAAATAATAGAATTGTATGAATATAAGTTTCCTAATATTGATCATTGCTCATGACTATTTAACAGTATGTTCTGTTCTTTACTCCAATATTTAGAGGAAAGGGACACTGTCTGCGATTCATTCTCAAGTGGCTAAAATGATATATGTATGTATGCCTATATATGAGAGAAAAGTAATTAAACAAATGTGGTAAAATGCTAACAACTGGGGAATCTGGATAAAGGGCATATGGGAGTCTGTTGTATTAACCTTGCAACTTTTCTGTAAGTCTTATTTCAAACTAAAAAAAAATTAACAAAGGAGGCTGGGCGTGGTGGCTTACGCCTGTAATCCCAGCACTTGGGAGGCTGAGGTGGGTGGATCACCTGAGGTCAGGAGTTCAAGACCAGCCTGGCCAACATGGTGAAAACCCGTCTCTACTAAAAATACAGAAGTTAGCCAGGTGTGGTGGTACATGCCTGTAATCCTAGCTACTCAGGAGGCCAAGGCAGGAGAATTGCTTGAACCCAGGAGGTGAACTTTGCAGTGAGCTGAGACTGTGCCATTGCACTCCAGTCTGGGCACCAAGAGCGAAACTCCATCTCAAAAAAAAAAAAAAAAAAAGACGAGAAGACCGTTGTGAATAAAAGAGACTTGGAGGCACAACTAATTGCAATGGGTGACTCTTGTTTGGCTTCTGATTTGAATAAACCGACCAATTTCTTATTTTTTAAATTTTTTTTTTCAGACAGAGTCTCACTCTGTCACCCAGGCTGGAGTGTAGTGGTGCAATCTTGGCTTACTGCAACCTCTGCCTCCCAAGTTCAAGCGATGCTTTTGCCCCAGCCTCCCAAGTAGCTGGGACTATAGGCACACACCACTATACCTGGCTAAGTTTTGTATTTTTAGTAGAGTCGGGGTTTCACCATGCTGCCCAGGCTGGTCTCGAACTCCTGAGCTCAAGTGCTGGATTACAGGTATAAGCCACTGCGCCCTAAACCAACCAATTTCAATAACCAGATAATAAATGACATTAAGGAATTATTACATGTATTAAGGGTGACAATTATATGGTGATTATGTTTTTTTTAAAATGCTCTTATTTTAGAAACACCGTCTCCTGTGTCACCCAGGTTGGAGTGCAATGGCTTAATCATAGCTCACTGCAGCGTCAAACTCTTGGGCTCAAACAATCCTTCCCCCTCAGCCTCCCAAATAGCTGGAACTACAGCAGCACCACAACGTCCAGCTAAACTGTTTATTTTTTGTAGACTTCATTGCCCAGGCTGGTCTCGAACTCCTCCACTCAAGTGATCCTTCTGCCATAGGCGTCAGCCACTGCACTCCACCAAGACTGCAATTTAGATTATCTTATTTCCTTTTTTTTTGAGACAGAGTCTTGCTCTGTCACCCAGGCTGGGGTGCAGTGGCACGACCTTGGCTCACTGCAACCTCCGTCTCCTGGGTTCAAGAGATTCTCCTGCCTCAGCCTCCTGAGTAGCTGGACTTACGGTCACCCGCCACCACACCCAGCTAATTTTTGTATTTTTAGTAGAGATGGGGTTTCACCATGTTAGCCAGGCTGGTCTCAAACTCCTGACCTCGTCATCCGCCTACCTCAGCCTCCCAAAGTGGTGGGATTACAGAGGTGAGCCACCGCACCCGGCCAACCATGTGTCTTAAGGATCTTTCCTTGTAGGTAGGTAGCATGGGTTCATCCCTTTTAACTGCTGCTAACTGCTGCGTAATAGCCTGTATGTTAGGCTGTTCCTAATTTTTCTTATCACACAGATGCTGTTGTGAACATCCTTGAACATATTTCCATGGACTCCAAAATATTTCTCTAGGGCAGATATAGGTAGGATTATTGCATCGTAGCGTATCTTATTTAAATTTTAATAAATTATATAAAATTACATGACCATTTATTAAAGTTATTTGATACAATTTTAATAATTATATTATATTACCATTAGCAGATTTTAATATGGCTTTTCCTATACCCTTAACAAAATATGACATTATCAACCTTTCAATATTTTGCTGCTCTGATGATTTAAAAATTTTAAAAAAGATTATTGCTTTCATTTGCATTTGTCTGATTACTGAGGTTGAGAATCTTTTTTCATATTTATTGGCCATTTGCTTTGATGAATTTTCATACCCTTTTTTAAAATAGAAAATAAAATACCCAGGTAAACAAAACCTAGACATTTTTGTGTGTGTATAATTTTTTTTCTGCTGTGATGAACTGCAACTGCAGTTTCTCAAATGCCTTCAATCTGAAATAATCAGTTTACTAAATCTGCAATTTTTTTTTTTTTGAGACGGAGTCTTGCTTTGTCGCCCAGGCTGGAGTGCAGTGGCGTGATCTCGGCTCACTGCAAGCTCCGCCTTCCAGGTTCACACCATTCTCCTGCCTCAGGCTCCCAAGTAGCTGAGACTACAGGCACCCGCCGCCACGCCCGGCTAATATTTTGCATTTGTTTTTTTTTTTAGTAGAGACGGGGTTTCACCATGTTAGCCAGGATGGTCTCGATCTCCTGACCTCGTGATCCACCCGCCTGGGCCTCCCATAGTGTTCAGATTACAGGCGTGAGCCACAGCGCCCGACCAACATTTTTCTTTTTTGAGACAGGGTCTCGCTCTGCCACTCAAGCTGGAGTGTAGCTAGTCACGGCTTACTGCAGCTGTGTCCTCCTGGGCTCAAGCAATCCTTCCACTTCAGCCTTCCCAGGTAGCTGAGACTACAAGCACGTGCCACCACGCTCAGTTAATTAAAAAAAAAAAAAATTTTTTTTTTTTGTGTAGGGTTGAGGCCCCTCTATTGCCCAGGCTGGTTT